ACAAACTATGATAGCGCACTGGTCACTGCTTCTTTTCCTCCTTGTACAGGGTGAGTGGTCTCGTCTCCGCCCTCATCTGTAGCTTCTGGCGGTGGGTGGAGCCTGCCGGGTACACACAAAGTGCATTTATATCCTTTGTGCCTATGGAGAATCCAGTGCTCCACAAATCCGTTTCTCTTCCAAGGTTCTCTTGACAGACCACACTCCCAGACACTGATATCTTTGCAGCGCTCTTCACTCAGAGTCATTGGAAAACCCAGCACTTCTAAGTGTGGGGGGAGCATGTGACCCAGTGCCATCAGTACCAGGATACAGTGCTCTTATCTAACCAGCCATTCTCCTAGCCCAAATGGGGTCTCTTTCAAGGTTCTCTTGACAGGCCACCTTCCCGCATACTGATACTTTTGCAGTGCTGTTCAGTCTGGGTCCTCAAATTTCCCCTCACTCCCAGGATGCAGTGTTTGCACCTGAGCAGCCATTCACCAGGCCTTAATGTGGTCACATTTGGGACAGCTATCTACCTGGGAATTCAGTGCTCCTCAAACCCATTTCTTTTCCAAGGTTGTCTCGACAGACCACCCTCCCAGACACTGAAACTTTTGCAACGCTCTTCAGTTGGAGCCCTCAGAAAATTCCAATACTTCTAAGTATGGGGGAGCGTGTGAGCCTTTCCCCTTACTCCCAGGATGCAGTGCTTGGACCTGAGTGGCCATTCACTAGGCCCAAACGTGGTCTCCTTCAAGGTTCTCTTGGCAGACCACCCTCCCACACACTGATACCTTTGCAGTCTTCTTCTTACAAGGTCCTTAGAAAAACCTTCCATTTTTAAGTATGGGGGGAGCATGTGATCCTTTTCCCTCTATCCTGGGATTCAATGCCTGGACCTGAGAAGACATTCACCAGGCCTAAACATGGTCACATATGGGACACCAACCTACCAGGGAATCCAGTGCTCCTCAAACCCATTTCTCTTCAAAGGTTCTCTGATTCCAAGGTTCTTCACACTGATTCCTTTGCAATGTTAAGTTGGAGCCCTCAGAAAATCCTGAAACTTCTAAGTAAAGGGGAGCATGTGAGCTTTTCCCTTGATACTTGTATGCTACTGATACTTTTGAAGTGCTCTTCAGTCGGGGTCCTTAAGAAATCCATCATGGGGGGGAGCATGTGGCCCTTTCCCCTCACTCCCAGTGATGAAGTGCTTGGACCAGAACGGCCATTCACTAGGTCCAAACATGGTCATGTAGGGAAGAGAAGAAGGTCATTAACCCTCTGTAAGCTCCTGCAGAGCAAAATGGCAGCAGAAGAGTACAGGACATCAATTATCAGTGGGTGGGAGAGGAGGCTATCAAGAGAACCTGTCACTTTGTCCTTAAAGAGCAAACTGACAGAGTCTCTTTACAATTATTTGCTTAAATCTAAGAAGCAGCTTTCATCTTACTATGCTTGATGTTTAATTTCAGCACTAACCCCTGGAGAAGAGTCAGTGAGCTATCACTGACTGGCCTCCATATCCACCACCAACCACACTGTACTTTATGCTATTGCATTGCTGAATCAGTGAGTGGAGCACTGTCCAGGAGATGTCAGTAACGGCGTGCCGGAAAATGCCGACAGTGCTGGTGGGCAGTTTGCATAGAGGGTTGAAAGCAGAAAACCAGTGTTGTCATTCACCACTCGGTAAATGCATTTCTGCAAAGAGAGTTCACGGGTACCTTTAAACAGAAGCAAACTAAAAAAAAGGCACTTCTGCAAAGTTTGATGCTATTAGGCAATAAGAGCATATTCTCAGAGATTTGTGAACATTACCACACCCCGCTGGAGAGAAGACTCTTCAGCTCCAATTCTATTTGCTTGTTGTTGCCAGCGGAGTTGAATCATTGAAACAGATTTGACACTGCATGTTTTCAGCCATTACGGCTCTTCCTCTATGTCAAGCCGAGAATAATGTGACCATTGACAGGCCACAGACAGGGTTGAGTAAAGTTTTATTTCAGGACTTTGTTTCCAGACAAAAGAACTTTTAGTAGAAAGAAATAAGCCTCGGCATGAGCCTTTGAAAAGGGCACAATACAAAGAATGACCCAGTTTATATCTATGGACCCCGGTGCTATGAAGACATTAAGACACCAGCTCTGTGTGTGGGTAGGTATGTATCATTTGTACCCCATTGGAATGGAGCTTACAAACCACGATAAATATGAGAGAGGTCACCATAATAGAAGCAGGCAGAGTGGTATATGGTTAAAGCGGCCTTGTCATTAAAACAAGAATTGCCAAATAGACATATAGCACCTGTAAAAAAAAAATAGACTGTAGATACCTTTCCGCAGTTCTGCTGAAATCAGCTCTGATCCTAAAAATAGTTTCTAAAGTCCACAGGGCAACTGACACTTCCTGGGACCCGCGCAGCTGTTGGTTGTTCCCGCCGACCTCCATATGATGTGGAGATCTGCAGGAGGAACCCATGAGATCTACTGGTTTCTGTCAAGGACCAGAACACTTCCAGGTGGCACTGTGGCGCTGGAACCAGACCCCTGCAGGGTACTGTACTCACCTGCAGGTGTCTCTAGGCAGCCAGTAGCCATCAGGGACCCGAGCACCTCCAGGTGGCATTGTGACACTGGAACCAGGTCCTGTAGTTCCAGTGCTCACCTGCAGGTGTCCCAGCAATGAGCAGTTAGTCGCCACCTGGTGCTGATCCGGGATGGTATTTAGCCTCTTCCTGCAGTGAGGCCTGTGCCACAGTATTGTTGCCATATCCTGCCCTGCCTTGAGCCCGGACTCTGACCTGATTCCTGACCCTTACCCCTGAGGTCTCTTGATCAGTGGCTCCCCTCTTGTTGTCCTGCTCCCCTGGGTTTGCCCTGAGGTCTCTTGATCAGTGGCTCCCCTCTTGTTGTCCTGCTCCCCTGGGTTTGCCCTGTTGTCTCAGGTGTGTACCTTGTTATTTGTATTAGTTAGTAAGTGTTTATGGTTGTGGTGTTTTTGGAGTAGCTCATAAACTATAGTTCATAAGCATTGTTTGGTGTGGTGACATATTTGGTTCTCCTGTATAGATCCCTGCACGCGGTGTGGGGACCCCCGTGCATGGTATCCTGATAGTTTCCCCAAAGACCTTAGATGAGGATTTCTTTTGATTGAACTGGAGTTTGGTGGCGAGGGCAGTGAGCAAGGCATTTACAGTCTTCTTTTACAAGTATGTCTTTTTGGCATTTTTTTTTTTCATTTTTAGGACAGGGTCACTTTAAAGGCAAACTGATAGTTTGGGATCTATCCTTTATAGTTTAGATGTATCTTTAATTTTACATAGGGCATGCCATGTGGAGTGGTGTCACTGAAAAGCACAAAGCAGATGGTCTATTTCTAACTGAAGGGAGGGGATAATTACATTTTACATTTATATGACTTAGGCAGTCGGGGAGGATCCCAAAATTTTCTGACGAAACAAATGAAAAACATTTTCATTCGTTTCCTCAAAGAAAACAATTTTTTTATGCTGTTTCGGATTTGGAAGCAACGAGCCCCCGAATCCGAAAACGCAAACTGAAACTAAAATTAAATTCAGTTGATTTGGCGGTTCGTCCGAATCCGAAATAACAAATATACTATATGCCCGAATATACGAAAACTATATTCGGCATTACATAAATTCGTTTTCAGAACACGCTGGCCACCAGAGTGTTCTGCAGATGCCCTCCACCATCTTGGAGGTGGAGCGCATGGCGTCACCTGACAGTGACGTCACACGCTGAACGAGCGCTGGCCCTATCGGCCACCAGTGCATTCTGCTCATGCGCATCGCCATCTTGGAGTGTATCTTAGTATACACCAAGATGGCGGTGCCCGCATGTTCGAGTGCAGCATCTTGGTGTACACCAAGATATACTTAAAAATGGTGGCGCACATGCACAGAACGCGCCGTTGGCCATTATGGCCACCGCTTGTTCAGCGTGTGACGTCACTGTCATGTGACGCCATGTGCTCCACCTCCAAGATGGTGGAGGGCATCTGCAGAACACTCTGGTGGCCAGCGCGTTCTGAAAACAAATGTATGTATGCCCGAATATAGTTTGCATATATTCGGGCATATAGTACATTTGTCATTTCGTATTCGGACGAACCGCCGAATCAACTGGATTTCGTTGATTTGCAGGTTTGAATGCACATGTCTAGTGTACATTCATAAACATGCTCTTATGACCCAAATGAGATCTGAACCAACTGTTGAGATATCAGCCACACAGTATAAGTAAAAGATGGACACCGGCACTCCAAAGCAAATCCGGTATGTCTATTTATTCACGTACTGGTTGCAAATGCAAAACACAAGATACAATGTGATCACTTGTTTGCCTGATGAAGGGGATCCGGTGAGACCCCGAAACGTTGTATCTTGTGTTTTGCATTTGCAACAAGTACGTGAATAAATAGACGTACCGAATTTGCTTTGGAGTGCCGGTGTCCATCTTTTACTTATACTTTGACGGAAGCCACCCGGTGACACCTGCTGCACCCACTTCTTATCTCATGGAGCATCGGCTCCGAGTGCGATGGGTACACGGACGGTATCAGCCACACAGGGGGCGCATTGTTTTTAGTGCGTCAGCTGATTTATAGGCTTACCCAGTGAGAAAGAGCAGTAAAGCATGACCATCATGTAGTACAGCACCTTAGATTATATGCTCCTTGAGGGCAGGGACTGATGTGAATGTGCAACTATGTAAAGCGCTGCGTGAATTGTCGGCGCTATATACATACCTGTAATAAATAAATAAAATACAGCAAAGCAGGAAGCAGATCCTGCATATGTAATGAGTAACTATAGCTGCCTGTGTTTACTTCTACAGGCTCCATCCAGTTGTCCTTTTATCCTCACTACATAGCTCTTAGAATAAGGAAATGTATGGATAGGTATACCACACGTTTAGCAAACACTGCTAAAACATTATTACTATAAAGGTACAGTACATTGCCATCACTATATGTATCAGCATAATTACCTGCTGCTGTTTCCTATATGTGGCTCAATCACCATCATGGAGTCAATTTGCACACTGAAGGTCTTCTCCAATTCTCCTGTCTGCAAGGCATTGATAACACTGTTGGATATGTTCTGCAGACCCCTTTGTATTGGAGAAGTTGCTATTCTTTCAGAGGCATTAGTTCGGCTAAATACTTTAGGGTCATTGATCTCCACAATAAGAACTTCTAATTGTCTCTCTTGTCTGTGTCTTGTCTTCTTCTGATTATCTGTTGCGTAGGTTCCAGAGTGACGTCTGACTCGTCTCTGTTTTTGGGTTATCGGCGGGCAGTGCCGCTTACGCTTTGAATGGTTGTCTGTGATGGTCTGTAACGTCGAAACTCGACCCTGTAATATCTGCAGTACCCTTACTTGAGATGGATCAAGGCTCAAAAAATGTGTCAGTTTCAAAGCTAACTGGTTATAAAGGTCTGTGCCAGTCCCATGAGCCACATAGAAAAACAGGTGGAGAGATAGATTGGTCCATATCTCTACAGGCTCACCTCCTTGTAGGATAACATACAACAGGTTCTCTCGAAAACTAAAAAAGCTTGAACCATGTTTCTGATGTTGAAATTCAGGTGCTACGTCATAGAGGACTGTGGAATACCTTTCCCCTTTTGAAACAACATAAAAACTATCTGGAATATCATAAAATAAAGCCAAGACAAGTTTTGTGGAATTCTGAGCTCCGTGAAGTTGAATCCTCAATGCCCTGGGAGATGAACCGGTAAAACAAACTTTAGTAATTTTATTTGCTGGCAAGATTGAGTAAAAGGTCTTATGGTCGGGTGCGTTACAGCACTGATCTCGATAACTTCCTCCATTGACAAAGACTTGAGCAAAATGATCTGTGAGTGCCAAGATTGGACCAATGGGCTCCACAGGCGTTACAATGTTTTCAAGGATTAGGACGGTGAGATCCGTATGGTGACACATGTGAGCCTGAGAGTGAGATTTGTAGGTACACAGGTCCTCTGTCCGGTATATTCCTGTAAAGAAACAAGCTGCAATTACTTTGTGGTTTTCAAACAATTGTTAACTGACGGTTTCTGAAGAACTATGGGGTAAGTGTTTTTCCCCATAGTTCTCTTTTAGGGTCACGGGAGGACATATACTTACCTCCTCCCGTGACCCAAAGCTCAGTATATAGCAAGCTATTGCCTGCGATATCCTGAGAGCGCCGAAGCCAAGATGGATCCCGACAATACTGTCCAGATCCGCCCAGCTGCGTGATTGACAACGGGCTCTGCCTATCTAGAGGCAGAGCCAGCTGTGCCCGCCCCCTACCCTGTCAGTTCCTCCTGCGCTGGAGGATCGGAGAGGGGAGGAGGGAACCCCTGACTGACAGTCAACGCTCTCTGCAGGGAGATGATTGGCAAGTGAGCGAACGATGATATGTGTTCGCTCACTTCCTGATCAATAGAGCCGACCTGTGACAGCTTCTTTGTCACAGGTCGGCTCTAACTATGAGGATGACTGGAAATCACTCACCTCATAGATCTCTTTTAAAGTGTATGTGTATCCCAAACATTTTTTTCGAGCTTTGGATAGAGAACTGCTGTCTCTATCCACTCAATTTGTCGAGGTGACTATTGTCTCCAATACGGAAACTGATTAGAAATCCCAAACTTTAGAAATGTCAGCAACGTCAATCTTCCAATGGGGACCCCTGTTCTGGTGACAATTGTCTAAAAGGGAAATTCCCCTCACTTTGAGGAGATTTCCTCTCATTTCCTGTTGTGTCTCTGGGACAGACATTGAAGGGAACTTCCCTCCGCAGCGGGGCACAGATATCAAAAAATAATCTAACAGGGGCTTTAACCCTGCCCTACTGTATCCAAAACTTTGGGTACACATACAATTTATCTTTAGTAAAATACGTACTTCAATAAAAGCAAATACACTGAGTGGCCAGATTATTATGACCACCTGACGTTTGTAGGCAAATGAGCTATAATTTGGCGCTGAAGTTGCTAGAGGGCCAGACCATTATAAATAGGGAAGCAGGTTGTTTACCACGACAGTAGAAGTGATTTGTTTCTGAAGATACGGGGAAAGATTTAACAGCCTTTGAACGTGGGATGATTGTTGGCGCTCGGAGCCATGGAGCGAGTATCAGCAAAACAGCAGAATTCGTTACATGTTCAAGAGGGGCTCATTGTTAAAGTGTTTAAAGAAAGGACTGTCAGCAGAAAATCTGGGTCTGAACATGCGAATTGTGGCCGTCAGCGACTAGTCAATGTTAGGGCAGAACGGGGGAGGGGCAAGACTGGTACAAGACAACAGAAGGGCAACAGTGCAGTGTCAGATTCCTCGCATCACCTTTCATCATCTCGTGGAGTCACGAGGCGGCCCAACGAAATACTGATGGGGTGGTCATAATAATCTGGCCACTCAGTGTATATGTCAAGTGCCCCCTGGTGTGGGTTACCTCTTATCAATCACCCCTTGTTATGGGAAAACCAATTACTAGCATAAAATATATAAAAAACAGTTTAAAATAACCTTAACATAAAAAAAGACTCAAAATCATTAAACCTTCCCTCTTGTTTCTTAATGCCAAGACATTGAATGATGCAATTACATTTTCCTTTATGGGGTCAAGCCTTCACCTTGTTTTTTATATTCCCTATCCTAAAAAGATTCTGGACATTTGCAAAGATTCTCATTTGGTGTGACACAGGGGGGTTGTCACAACGTCCCAGGTTGCCAAGAGCCCTTACCAAACTGTGACACTCTGTGTGGCTTCTCACTGATGTCACCGGTTGCCAGGAGCTGAGCAGGATGCTCTCGCTCGCATCCTGCTCAGCTCCTGGCAACCAGTAAGCTGGGCGGGATGCCGGACAGAGCCGCTGACATAATACCTCAGGGACAGCCCTGATGATGTAAGTGATGAATGTAATGTCATTATACTGAAAGTTTACTCAAAGCTTGGATCAAATAAAGCTGCAGTGCACTTATCCTTTAATACATCATTAGAAATATTTTTTTACATGCAAGAAATGCAAATGTTGACCTGGTATCATCTACTTGTAGTGGGATAAGGCTCAGACTGGGCCTGTGAGCCAGTTGTGTTGTAACACATGCTGATAGTAGAACACAGCAGAGCTCAACAGTGTGCTGCTTCTCCTTTCACTGGCTGGGGTAGGGGCAAGACTTGTAAGTCCCCGTTCGTACCTAGGCGTTTTGCCGCTCAAACGTAAGCTCAACAATTAATTCAAGACAAGGAATCCCATTCAGCTCGAAAAAAACACTCAAGATAAAGAATCCCGCTGATTTCTACGGTTAGCGCCTGTTCAAACTTCAGCATTTTGTCACAAGCAGAAAAACGCGTGTCGCAGGAAAAAGCACATGAGCTACTTTTCGGCCGACTACAGCTCTTTTTGGTCCCATAGACTTCAATGGGAAACTTTGTGCGTCCGAAAAAGCGTGACAAAACGCTAAGGTGTGAACAGGGGCCACGGAAATGAATGAGATTCCTTGTAAAAGGAGCCTTATTACTTAACCTCCATGGCGGTATTCCAGAGCGTGGCTCGGGGTTAATTTTCTGTACCATAAGCGGTAACCCCGAGCCACACTCGGGAATACACAGCACTCGGGAATGTTGGCATCCGTCTTCCGGACTCCGTCCCTTGCGAGCGTCTGCGTCGCAGGGGGGCGAAACTGGCGGGAGATTCAAAAGTTAAAAAAAAAATTGAAAGAAAAAAAAAAAAATCCTTTTGTCTGGAATTGCTCCCGAAAAATGGCTGTGTACTCCCCGCCATATGATGGTCACTTATGTGCCTGGAGCCTCATAGCTGTGTATCTGCAGTGTAAGATCTAAGGCACTACTGCCTCTAACTGCTAATCTCAAGAGATTTTAGAGTGAGATTTGGTGACGTCACCAATGTACTGGTCACGGTTTTCCTTGCTGGAGGGGAAGCTGTAACTGAGGACCTGCACTGTCACAATTCAGCTGCAGACTTGCAGCTGAGCTCTTACTTGTAGTTCTACAAGTATATGCAGACCTCTTACCCCTGGTTCTGCAGGGCTGTGTTGTTGCTTGTAGTTCTCCAGGCATGTGCTCTGTACCTGACTCGCTCTTGCACCAGTCTGGCAGCTTTAGGTGTTGGACAACCTCTCCTGCTGTTTCTTATGCAGCTTCTCGGCCAATCAGTGCAGTCCGCTTGTGGCCAATCCCGTGATTCCTCCCTCTTGCCAATTCTATTTAAACCCAGGGCAGCAAACTGCACGCTGCCCAAGCAACACTCTCCCAAGCTAGGTGCCGAGCCCCCCTGGTTGCCGTTGAACCTGACCTTTGGCTTGTCCCAGGAAACCCCAGTCTTCAGTCTGTCCCTGGAAGTTTTGGTCCTCCATTCTGTCCCTGACCTTTGTTTTGTCCCTTGTATGTGTGTCTGCAACGTGTCCAGAACTCTGGCCTTATCAATCATTCTGGGCTGTTAGGTGAGTTGTGTGAACCTAGGGATTGTGAACTGGGGTCAGCACGCAGCCAAGCCCATCTCCACCATCAGGAGCTCTGGTGAACACCGGCTGGCCCTTTGATTCCACATCTCGGGGGACCCCATGCGACCTACCTAGCACTGCAGCACCCTGCCTAGTACTACCAGCCTATTCTGTCTTCCACTACCTCATTCAGTTCCCCTGCTCTGTTCCCTGCTTGTACTCCAGCTCTGGGAGGAGTCAGCCTACACTGCTTGGACCCTTTTCTCTATGAGTTCCGCGGCTTGAGGGGTTAATCAGGGCCAGCACTAGTGTGTGTTTCTTTGTTGAACAGATAGTGCTTTGATAGTTTGTAAACTGTTGCAGCACTGCCTCCTGGTCCTAGTGGAGCTGCGGGGGGCTCCTTCCTGATAGCATGCTGCCCGCCACCGGACCCCTGGTGAGACCTCCGCACAGCCACCTGAAAGCCAGCATAGCCCAAATGAGAGTCTGCATAGCCCACCTGAGAGCCCGCATAACTCACCTGAGAGTGTGCATGGCCCACCTGAGAGCCCGTGGAGTCTACCCGAGATCCCGCACAGGCCACATGAGAGCTTGCATGGGCCACCTGAGACCCTGGAGACATCAGGGCACCACCCAAAACAACACAAGGTATGTAGCTTCATATTATTTTGTATTGCTGCATCATGTATTGCTGAGATTTGTAGCCTTCTATAAATCGTCTCCTTACTCCCTCCCCTGGCGGCCTCTTCTTGCTGTTTCTCCTGGCTTCCTCTCCTCGCTCTCTCCACTATATTCTAAAAAAAATATTGCTGCACGCAGCGCTTGAGTGTTCAGGTTTCACTTGAAGAAAAGGTGGCAACCCTAATGGCAAATAAACCAACTCCCTTATATGAATATCATCTATTTACCTTGATAAACCTGCAATTCAGCTTTAAATATAATGAGCTGATAAAAACCAAGGTACAGGATGTTTGAACACTGAAACGGTTAACGCATTTCCAGCCCCGCAATCAGATCCACTCACTTGAGATATCTTCCTGCCAATCCCAATTTTGCACGGCCTGTTGATTTTGATCACTTTTAAATGAAACCCACACCGGCCTCAGTAATCATAATGTCATTTGCAATTTCCCACAAAACACATTTATCCACTTAGTAGCACATTGAAAAGAAGAACACCCTATGAACTCCCAGCAAAAGAGAGAGAGAAGAAAGAGGGGGGCCTAATCGTATTACGTCCTCATGAACCTCCAAGCAGGGGTGCTTGTAAGAGATATGTAAAAGAAAAAAAGACAAAAACTAGGCCCGGATACAGCTGACTCTCATAATTAAAACCGGGAGAGATAGCCAGAGCAGCACGCGAGGGGCAGGAGGATACAAAACGCCCCGGGGCTTTCCTCAAAGAGACTGGCCGGAGTGGATGAAGCTTAATGAATCCTCCAAATGACCGATGGAGGCCAAGCACGCCGGCTTCTCTCTACAACAACAATGGTGTTTTGGGTTCTGCTTCACGTTAACAAAATTAAATCCAAATCCCAGTGTCTTC